ACAAACAGGATACTTTATTTACTGTCTTACTCAATAATTGGTTGTTAATGTAGGTTGCAGGGTTCAGGTTACAATTGTTTTCCAGATTCTCTCTGTTTGGATAAATGGAGGAGTTTTTCTTGATTCTGTTTCAAATGCAAAATAATATGGGATATTTTTGTTCCATTATTTTCCACTAGGTGAGAGAAAATATATGTACCCAAATGGCACAAGGCAGTAGATTTTTTTTTTGTTTCAGGCGATTGTTTTCTGTAAAAAAGAAAGAAAGAAAGAAAGAAAGAAAGAAAGAAAGAAAGAAAGAAAAGGGGAGAAAAAGGGAAAATGCATACTCATTAAGAATTTTGTTCCATCGTGTTTATTTTGTATATCTAGTTCTGTGTGAATTTTATAAAAAAGATTATGAGTTATTAACATAACCTGTATAAAATAACCTATGGAATGGAAAATGGGTTATGGAGACTTGTATTTAAAACAGTAAAGTTTCTGAGAATATTTGACTGTCTTGAATAGTAAATATCCTTGGAACATATTTGGGGCTCATTCCCACTTGCATTTAAATCAGTTTGTGATTTGCATTGACACTGGGTCATGGATTTGATTCAGGCTGATGTGTAGTTCCCATTATGGAAACAAATTATTTCCTTATTCCATGTTGTTCCCACTAGTGGGAATGAGCCCCAAGTTGCCTTTGCACCCCACCTTTACATGCAGGATGTGCAAAGCCCAGTGTGCTTTCCTGAGTGACTTGTAGGGTAAGGAAAGGGGCACCTGGTGATCCTTTCTGGTTCCTTTATGGAGATCTCCACCAACCCCACTGCCCTCCCACCTCCAGGGACTGGAGAGACCCCTGGAGGAGCAGGCGAAGCCAAGCAGCTGAATGGCCCTGACTCCTCTGAGGCAGCCACTGGGCTTGGAGAGCTCCCATGCCTAGTTTGCTCCCTCTGGGCTGTCTATGTCCTTAACAACCACAGTGGCCCTAAACCCAGGTCTGGGAGCCCCGAAAGTGGGGCCCTGTTCTGCCTGGTGTGGGCATGCGAGGCTGAGGGAGCCCAGTTCACCATCCTCAACTTCGGGCAGCTGGATTTTGTGAGACTGCCATCCTAGACATGTTCTACAATGCTGGTGAGTTCAGAAGGCTTTGGGAAGGTGGTGTTTTGTGGTTTCTTGGCTTCAAGTGGTGTAGTTTTGAAGGGTTGTGCTCTGGAGACCAGGGTTCGAGTCCTCTTATACTCTCATTCTCTCACTCTCTCCGCCTCAACCTTTTGTCTTTAGTCCCTCCCCTCCAGTTCAGTGAGAATCAGATCCGTCATTCACACTTGTTGAACATGCTTCCGAATCAATTCTTTTCAAAAGAACCAAAAGATCCATCTTTGAAAAGAGCGAGTTTTTTTGTTTGCCTCACTTCAACATGACTCAGACCGAACGCAGTCAGGTCTCAAACAGTTTCTGGTGTGAACAAGGCACATATAAATCGGTCAGCATATTGGTTTATATCATAGTGGGAACGAGCCCTTGGTGTGGGGTCCTCTAGAAGAGAAATGTAACCCTACCCTTGTTCTCTGGAGACCACGAACTTATTCCTGATTTTAGAGTTAAAAAGGTTTTTATTGGTGGCTTCAGGTGGGCTTTTCTTCCCTGGGCTTACAGGACCTCTTCAAAGACCATTGCTTCAGAACCCTTTGCAAACCACTGTTCTCTCCCTTAAGGCAAGGAACTCCTTAAGGCAAAGAACCCACTTAAGAGTATGAGTGTGAATTTTACCTTGGGGTGCCAAAACCCCAGGCCCCTTAAATTCAGCTCTTTTCAGTGGCTGATCAAGCCTGTTAGCTTTAGATCTTATGTTTGTTGTGGTTACTGTCATGCTGTCTGCAGTTGCTCCTGGCACAGTTTTCATATGCTGGGCATGGACTCACTTAACCTGACAAGTTTGCTTTTAAAGCTAACCAGGCTGCTTCCTTCCCTGCCCATTTATCCCTCTCTATGGCCAGCTCTTCTAAAGTAGTCTGCTACAGCCATGGCCCTTGCCAGTTGTTGCACATTACTTTGCGGAGGCTTGCAGGACCTTGAGTTGCTTTCTGACTTCTTTAGTATTGATGGTTCTACCGGTCTTCACTGATTGGCATAGAAAGATTTCCTATCCTTCCAGGCTCCCTTGAGTGTACTAGCAAAATCTAATCTGGTGGGGAGGGTAGGATGTCTTAAGCAGATAGTTTCTCCTTCTATCCAGCCATCTTATTTGGTTTCATCCTAATGCTGTTAGCACAGCTAATGCATCACTCTTCTGGTCTTTGGTGTAGGTGGAATTAAAATGGTACCTTTAACAGGGCATTTTATAGTGCATTTTATCAATCCACCCCTGTGGGTAAGAGCCAAGTCCCATTTAATTCAAATGTGACTAACTCCTTAAAAAGTAAGGTTATAAAAAAGTGAACACGAGGAAATAGAATTCTAATAGAGTTGGACCAATGAAGATTGAAGCTAATTTAAGAAAACTAGAAAATTTTCCAATGACCTAAAACAAGCATGGGCAACTTCACTAAATCCAGAGGGCATTTTTACCCAGATCTAAAGCCCCTGATCCACCCCCATGTCCCTGATCCACACTAAATATTTGTGGACATCTGGGGGAGTATACAGTTGACCATTACAGTCTATTTTGGGAAAACTTTTAGATGATTGCAATACCACTACCACCCTTTAAAGAAATAGAAAGTAAACACTTTACCATTTTCCATTTTTTTAAAAAAAGGTATGTAAGGCAGCATAGTGTATTGGTTTGAGTTTGGGTTATGACACTAGGACACCAGGGTTTGAATCCTTATTTGGCCTTGGGAACTCATTGGGTGATCCTTGGCAAGTGACACTTTCAACTTCAGAGGAAGGCAAAAGCAAAGGCAAACCCCTCTGAACAAAACATGCCAATAAAACCCTCTGATAGCATTGCCTTAGGGTTGCAGTAAGTTGGAAATGAAGTCATGCAATGACAACACAATGTAAGGCCTAAAAAGTCCTGGGTTTGTATAGTATTTAAATGACCAATTAACCCCTCAAATGCATCTGTGGGTGTGATTAACCATTTTCATATTTTTCCCCCAGGGTGATGTGTTCAGAGGGCATGTGGGGGGAATCACACTTTTTCCACTATTGCCTAAATAGGCCATGATCTGACTTAGTTTATTTATTTGACACACACACACACACAACATTTTAGTGTCGTAACACTACCTTCTCACTCGTCAGCAGCAACGTCTAGCTAACAAGTAGTAATATAGCGCAGAACATTTGAACTGAAATATTTGATTAGATGAAAGCAAAGCATATTTAACATAGTTTAAACATTGTTTCATAACAAGTCCAAAGCTTGATTATTTTTATTTTTATTAAAATAATTGTCTTTTAATGTATTCCCTTTCCATTTAGTGGAGGAAGGCAATGACAACTGTTGAAAGTCTGATTTTAGCACATCCTTGGAATTCACGATATGCTGTGGTTGTCTATTCAGCTAATTTCAAGTGAGTTTAACTGTCTTCCACAGATGTAAAATTCAGACTAAGGCAAATCTAATTGAGATAGTCTTGAACCATCTTTTTTTTTTTTGCTAACAGATTTTGTTTTGATGAGCAAGGGAAACTTACAACACTCACAGGTTCTTTATTTAATTGATTTCCCCTTCCCCTTTCTGGTTACAAATTAACAACACACACACTTCCAAGGGATAAACATTTGAATAACATTTATTTAGCTCTAAAAGTACCAAGCTTTATATTATATTGGCATCCATTCATTGTTAGTTATACATTTTATAAATTGGTGATTTATTTTATTTTTTTAGAAATAGAGTAATTTTATAAGCACTGGAAGATTTTCCATTTTTGAAAATTTTCTGCCCTATATTGCTACTTGTTAGCTAGACATTGCTGCTGGTAGGTGAGAAGGTACGTATTATGTGTTTGTTGGGTTATAATTAAGCATCAAGGGACTGCTTTAAACTGTACTGAAATTGGTTCTGTGCATGTGTATTTAGAAGTAGGTTCCGTTGTGTTAAGGTTTCCTCCCAAGTAAGAGTGAATAAAGTTCTGAGCCTTAAGGTGTCATTTCCTGTTCCATGTCAGCAAGTTCTTTAATTACTTGTTCATTTTTATTGCAATCACAAAACTTCACTTAATAAAATAAAACCAACAAGTAATTATAGGGCTGTCCCACAGGGAACAGGAAGTTACTCATTAAAGATATGATTTCAGTTACATCTAGGGCTGGAGGAATTGCAAGCCATGATATAAATAAGTAGGTAATAAGAGCTATGAGTCTATTGGTATGTCTCTTCACTGTGGACAGGTGTAAGTGCATTATCTAACTTAACACTATCTTTGTTCATTGCCTAAGAGAACCCTATGAAATTCATGCGGTTGTCATATGTTGACAGTCAACTTGAAAGCACATATACATACATCCCTCTCTTCCCCCAGAGGCTGGTTCTGGTTGGATAATTTCCAAGTAACTCTCAAGTTGGTTTCTGCAATATATGGCAAAGAAAAATAAAGAAAATTAGGTCCCAAAATGATATTGGGACAATAGCATAGAAAACATTGGAACATTATGATTTGGCAGTGATATCACTCAGCATAAAAAAAAAAGAGTATGCAAAGACTAGCAATTTTGAAGGAAAGAACCATTTTGAGACAACACTTGTACATGAGAGGAAAGGCAGCTGCCTTTAAAAACATTTAAAATTAGCTGACCTTTTTATAAAAATTACAGAGAAGGAGGAAAAATCCAGGAAAATGGATACTGTTGGCAAGATTACTCCTCCATGTGCAGCTCCCAAAGTCTGCTCTGGAGTGTCCTCTAAATAAGATTTAGGTGACTATAAGGGTGGGGAGGAGAAGCCTGTTGCATAGGCAGAAGTCCACAGGGGAAGTACTGTAAGCTATGTTTGTATTGGTATAAAAAAATATAAATGTCCAAAGTTTCTCTTTTAGATCCAGTTTCTAAACTTAAAGGGCCAGTGTGGTATAATGGTTTGAGTGTTGAGCTAAGGCACTGGGAGGCCAAGGTTCGAATCCTGGCTTGGCCATCAAACCCACTGGGTGATTTTGGACAAGTCACTTTCTCAGCCTTAGAGGATAATAATAGCAACCACCACCCCTGAGATAACTTGCCAGGAAAACCCTATGATAGGTTTGCCTTAGGGTCATCATAAATTGGTGATGACTTTAAGGCACACAATAACAATTCTAAACTGAGTCAGTTCCTGAAATGTCACCTGTTTTCCAAAGAAAAGTAAAGCAATAGGATATCAATGTATTTAAACCATATTAATTAGCTTTATTTTGAAATGTAACCTAATTATTTTAGGCATTTCACTATTTGGCAAAACTTTCATAATATACTGTATGGTAATATTGCATGCATATATTTTTTATTGGTCCAGTAACTAGTTTATCAAGTATATTACGGGCCTTTACAGACTGCCAGAAATAGTGCAGCTTGAGTCCACTTTAATGCCCTGGGTCAGTGCTAGGAAAGCATGGTAATTGCATTTTTTTTCTGGGACATTGAGCCTTCTATGTCAGAGAGCTCTGGTGCCACAATAAACTACAGTTCCCATGATTTCCTAGCACTGAGCCAGAGCAGTTAAAGTGGACTCAAGCTGCATTATTTCTGGCAGTCTGTAAAGGCCCATAATAAAGATAACATTAAACCTTTTCATTGGTTTCACACTATCAAGCTTACCTAAGCATGGAACAGTACATTATATTGATAATTTTCTGCTTAAGTTTTTTTTAGATTGTTAAAAATGAACTACATTTATCTGTTAATTCCTTATAGCATGAACAAGTATGTATAAAATTGAATCAATCCAGTTTACATTTCCAAAACGAAGCTGTTGAATGCTTATAACTATATCTTTTTCTTTTTCAATCAACACCCGTCTATGGTCAATTTTTATTTGTATAATTTGATTACATGGTAACTTGCTGTATAATTCTTGGGGTCTTATTATATCACTGAGAATTATTGGTCTTAGAAACCCTTAAAGGGCTGAAAACAGCATAATGACACATGCTTCAGTAACACCACGTAAAGGTGTCTGTAAAGTTACGTCTCTTCTATGTTCAATAAATTTTATTGATACTTTAAAGGAAGATTGTCCTACCTTCCTGATTTTGGAGTGCCTTTATTCTAAAATGTATTCCATTTTTCCAAAGCAAGCAGAGCAGACAACTGATCTGCCATGCTTGCTGTATGATGATTCTGTTTGTGCTGCTTTAACTCTTATAATGCTCAAGTGAGCTTTAAAATCAAATATTTATATCCAGATCCAGATCTAGACACTGGTAGTTATGCATGACTAGTTGTATCATGATGGAGATACACATGCAGATATGTATTTGGGACTACCTATTAACTATGTAAGCCTAAATCCAATTGTTATCCTATTATAGTAGTAGACCATTAAATATAATGAACTTACATAAGTGTTGGTTTACTATATTTGCATTGATTCAGTGAGACAAGCAGCTATTTTCTTTCTGATTTTACTCAAAAATGAACATGGAGGACATAATGTGGATTAGAAATTTCAGATCTAAATAAAATAATTTTATGGATTTTAAATGTTTCCAATCTCTGTATTATGCTGTCCTTAGTTGCTGCTGTAGTTGTATGTCTCTTATGACATACTTAAAAAAAAAAAGGACTGATCATGCATCTGTAATGGAAAAGGACCGCTCCTGTTTCACCACCCCTCCCACCTTGGAAATGACTGCCATGGGGAGGTGGGTATTTGCATTTTTTTCCGTATTCTTGGGGCTCTTGATCCCCTAACCCCTGCAAATATGGAGGGACTACTGTATAGAGTGTTTTCACTCCAAGGAAGTAACTATGGCTTAAAAACTCCTTTGAACGTGCATAACATTCACAGAGATTTTAACTTCCCCAAATATATTTTAGTTCAGTTGGTTTTATAATAAAGTTGAGACAAAGAGAACAAACTGCTTACCTGAGGAGAATAGTTACGCTTCATATTGCTGTCTGTTTAGTCATTTTTCTTATACAGCATTTCCCCATTGCCACATATTTCTCCAAATCCCTGATTGACTGCTAAAATATCTACAGAGAGGTATAAAGGGCTTAATAAGATTGGTACTGCTTATGAAGGGGGAATATGTTTTATACTAGTGTGCAGTATTTATTTAGCTGTCTTTTTAATTTAGTAATTGTCTGTTAAATATCCAAATGCAGATTTATTTTGAAATTATACAATGAATTATGATTTTTATTATACAACTAAAAGAAAGACTTCTGAGGAGGTCATGGAGCCTATTTAAAACCTAAAGGTTTTTGTTTAAATTTTGACCTAATTCTAAGGAATTATGCAGTGACCTATTTGTGCTCTTTCTTCAAACATCAGTGTAGTATGTGTCTAGTACACTTGTGCTGAATGCTAATTCTTTGTGACATGGCCAACAAACAAGAGGAAGTTGGGAAACACAAAAGTTTAAAAGTCCCACAACTTGTAAATAAATTGTCCGTGGGGAGGACTATATAGCCTGACTAATCAAAAGCATGCTTCAAATTCCTTTTGGCTTACTATTTCAGATTAACTGACACATTGTGTGTATTATGCTAATTCAGTTTCATAGCCATACATTAGTGAGAATCATCCTGCCTTCTAGATGTTGTAGGACCAGAGCTCCTACAACAGAGCTCCTACAGCCCTAGCCGGTATATACAGTAGATGCAATCCAACAACATCTGAAGAACTACAGGGTTCCCACCCCTGAGCTGAATCCAATTGTTAGTCCCAGCTGAAGTAGATCAATTGAGCCAATTGCTGAATGTTAACTCAGCAGTTATGTAAATTATGTTAATTTAGGAGCTCTTTATACATGTGACTATCAGTTGGATTTAGGTCATTATATGATGAACATCAGAAATATGATTTGTTTCAGAACTGATATTTTCATTTCCTAAACTGAAATATAATACCTAAAATATTAAGAGTAATCCAACATGTTTTGTTTTTTTAAAATTTACTTGGTTTCATTCCTTTTTTACATTGTTTATTCTTCCAGTGTGCCTTCAAGTCATTTCTGATTTAAGCAACCATAAGGCAAACCTATCCGAAGGCTTTCTTGGAAAGATTTTTTCAGAGGGGCTTTGCCTTTGCTTTCCTTTGAGGTTGAGAGGATATGACTTGCTCAAGATCTGCAGTTGGTTTCCATGGCTGAATGAGGATTCAAACCCTGGTCTCCATAGTCATAGTCTAATACTCAAAAACCACTACACCATGCTGGCTCATTTTACATTGTACTTGGAAAAAATCTTCATAACATTTTCAGAAATACCTAACAAGTCCCTTGTAGCACAGCAGTTTTATAATTTTGTGGAATTTGAAGTGTGAAGAGATAAATGACCAACTAGGCTGAATCAGTAAGTTGTGATTAAATTATATATATAAAACACATCACAATAGTTGTGAGCTATTTGATGGTACTTACAATGTTTTAATCTCTGAAGTTCTTGGCTTTGTTTGCAGGATGGAATATCCAGATATGAGGCAAGCAAACAGATGTCACATTATGTGTACATGAAGTTGAAAAACAAGATTTAACTTCGTGGATCATGCAGTCTCTGGCAGCAGCCTCGTCCATTAATTCCAGTGTGTGTCAAAAACAGCTGCTTTGTAATATCTTCACTCTGGAAAGATTAAATGTATGATTGTGTGAGAGGGAGAGGATTTCTGTTTGGCCTAAGGTTCTGATACTGCTATACCCCAACCTGTGGTAAATATTTGTTTGAAATGTTTAAGGTTACAGCCTGGCAATGGACAGAGCATTATACTGTAAGCTAAACTGACCAGAGATTATTTCTATAACTTTGAAGTAGATATTGATATAAAGACTTTCCATACCTAGGCTTATTGATCAGAATGGAGACTGCAGTCAAGAACTCAGAAGACTAGGACTTGGAAGGGTAGTTATGAAGGAACTAAACAAGATCTTGAAATGTAAAGATATATAATTGAATACTAAAGTTAGGAAAGTACATGCTATTCTGTTTCCCACTTCTGTGTATGGTTGTGAGAGATGGGCAGAAAGGTGACTCACTAGAAGAGAAATAATGCTTGGTAAAGTAGAAGATAGTAGGAAAAGAGAAAGAGTACTTTCCAGATGGATAGATTCAATCAAGGAAGAAATGGCTCTAAGTATGGAAGACCTTAGCAGGGCTGTTGAGGATAGGGTGACTTGGAGGTCTCTCATTCATGAGGTCACCATAAATTGAAGTCAACTTGATGGCAGTTATAACAAATACTGTCCCTACGTTATCTTGTAGTCTTAAGCTAGATATGCTCCATGAACAATGGCTGGACTTGAGCATGATGTCAAGGCCCAACAGAAGATATTTTGTTGACTAGGACAAAGGGTACACCTGCAGAAGCTGACAGAGTGGCATTTGAGTCTTCAACATTGTCTGAAAGCAGGTTAGCTTAAGGGGCACACACCGCTTTCTATAACTTGTAGCACTTGACTTAACTGTCTCATGAGTCAATTGTATTATGGAGAGATTTTTTTAAAATTGCACAAGAAAATGTGTTGGGTATAAGGATCCTATCTCTCTGTGTTCAAATCCTGCATATTCCTCTATATAAAATGGATATATTCCAGAGAGATAAAATTCCAGAGCCATAAAGGTCATTTGAGGACAAAGATGAACTGTACCCTTACCTTAAATATTATGGATGCCAAATATTTTCCTTGCTGGGAATGATAATTTCTTATCTTTTCTGTAGGCATATGCTGGACACTCGATTAAATTTATGTTCCTCCCTCTGCGTCCTTTTGACACTAAACCAAAATTCCTTCACAGAGCATTCCTAGCCTGTGATGCCAAGCTGAAACAGTTGAACAGTTCAAGAGAAAAATAGGTCAGTTAGCATTCTTGAAATAACATCTCTAGTCATGCTTCATGCAGTAAAACATAAGTTACATTAATATGATTTTTGGGCAATGGATAACAGGATTTGATTTTGATAATACTTGATGAAAAACTAATGTTTAAAAGTTTGCA